AGGAGCATTTTGGGAGGTTGTGGTTCTCAGCCTCTCACGGTGCCACAGGGCACCATGAAAAGGGAGGAAATGATCCGGAGCCGACAGCGATGGTCCGGGCCACTGCTCCCGGGCGATATTCCACCGCATCAGCTTATTCCATTGGATGAACTCCAATCCATCGTCTGGGCGTCATCCCATTGGCTGGAGTAAGTGGGTCCGGGAGGGCGGTGAGCAGCACGGGGGATGCTGAGCGAGCTTCCTCTGAGGGGCAGAGAGGGAGGGGCATGGGGAGATGAGGAAGGCGAGTCTCTGTGGGTCCCCCAAAGTGTCCCAGCCATCCAGATGCTCCCGTGTCGCGAGCTGGCCAGACGCACATCTCAATGACATCCAGGTCAAGGGGGTGGCTCTCAGCTCTCACTCCCCCACCCTGGGTGCCAAGAGGAGCTGGGACGCAGTGTTTGCTCCCAAGGCCCCAGGGACTCTGAGCACCTCTGCCTGCATCCCCAGCCTGGGGAGATTTAGGGAGCACAGGAATGCCACCTCCTCCAGGAAGGCTTCCTATCAACTCGCCCTTCAGTCTGAACCTCTGAGGTTGCTCACACATGCCCAGCTTGTCCGCTATTCTGGGTCGGTCCCATCCCCCTCTTGCGGGTGGCCCTTTGGGGTCAGAAGCCCACCTACCTTGTAAACCTCGCATGACCCTGGAAGGAGCTCCACATACCTGGGCTGCACTGAGCTGGAGCCGAGGAGCCCAGAGGGAGAGATCTGCTGGCAAGGCTGCTCCTGCTGCTGACAGCCAGGGCGCTGGACGCGGGGACAGAAATCCACCAAGGGCCACTCCCTTCACCCCCCACCCCCAGCAGGCAACCTGAAGCGGGTGCTGGACAAGCAAATCTTGCTGGTGTGGACGTCAGGGGCCAAAGGGAACCACAGAGCAGCCAGAATCAACCCCTGGGCTGTTGAAAGCAGCAAATCAAACCATGGTGTGTGTGTGTGTGTGTGTGTGTGTGTGTGTGTGGCTTCTGGTCACCATGGCGCTGAGAACACTGGGCCCACTGGGCCTGGACACCAGGACTGGGCCTGTGCAGGGGTGGGTCGGAAGCTAAACAGCCACGTCTTCTTGGAGAGGTGCCCATGGCACTGGGGCACTGGGGCACCAATGCGGACATCAGCTCTGTGCCCCGCATTTGAGGCAGTAACTCCAGAAACCGCATGGACTGCCACCCTTCTGCTACTTCTTAAGCACTATGGGATTTTAGGGTCAGGCTCAGCCTATGGCCCAGAGGTCATCTAGTCCAATGTCATCCTCATACAGATGAGGAAACCAAAGCAAACCCAAGTCAAGCTGGAGGCAGGCTCTACTCTCCTGCCCCTGCCTTCTCCTCCACCCCCTCCTTGGTCCTCCTCACTGGAGCACCTCACAGAGCCTCCCCTTCATGGTCTTTGTAGGGGGGGAGGCTTTCTTCCTGTCGGTCTGTCTCCTGGAGATTGCGGTCTCCCTGTGTTACTGGTTTTAGCAGCACCAGAGCAAATGCTGAGTGCCCGGTGCATCTGAGAACCCAATGGGTGTCACATAGGGAGCTTCAGGGGAGAACACGTGGACCAGAAGAACACAGTTGTGGGCTGGTTCAGACATCCCAAGTCAGACCCTGGTGTCCCAAGTAACAAAATGGAGTTGATTCGACCTGGCTTCCCTGAACTAACTGCCTTTCTCACCACCAGTTTGTGCCTGCAATTCAGGTTTCTGACACCAGATGGCAGTGTTGCTCTGTTTGTAACTGCAGACAAGCCGCTCTTGCGAGAAGCCGTTTAAAGCTCACTCATTCATTCACTCAGTGCTTACTGAGAGTGTTCACAAAGTGCCAAGCCCTTTTCTAGGTATCTGGGGTTCAGCCGCGAACTAAACACAAAAAGCTGTGCTCTCTGGGCCCTTCACTGTTGCACAAACGAGAAAGCATTTTGTCTGTTAGATGACCGGTGCTGTTGGGACAAACAGAAGGCGGAAAGAAGGGCTGGGGTGAGGGGCTGTGAAGTGGGGTTTTGTTATATGGGGCAGATGGGGAGACTGAGGCTGGGGAGGGAGGGTTTTGCCCTACGTGAGAGAGATGGAGGCTGAGGCTGGCAGCCTGGAGCTCCGGTCCGCTCTGACCCCCCTACTGCCCCGCCCCCCCACAGCGGGCAGGGCTGTGGGCTCAACGAGGCATGATTTCTGGCCCGCCCTGCAGGGACTGTGTGCAAGGACTGTGCTGGCCAAGAGCTGCTGGGCAGGCGTCCTGGACACGAAGTCCACTCCCAGCTCCTAAAACCGCCCTGCATGCTCCTGCCCCCACGCCTCCCCATCCGCTCTGGGCTGCGGGGCATTCAAGGTGGGGGAGTCGCGGAAAGGGCCGCCTGGAGGAGAGCCCCATGGCGGGAGTGGATCTGGGCTGTGCGGCCCCTGAGAGCAGCTTGTACCCTAACCAAGACACACCCACGACGTTCCCCACCCAGCCTTCGTGCCTGGCCCAGTCCGTTGCATGCTATCACGGAATACCACAGACTGGGTCATTCACAACAAGAAGAAATCGATTCCTCACGGCTCAGAGGCTGGGCAAGACCGAGGCCCTGGAGTCAGGCGAGAGCCTCCTCGGCGCCTCCGTGCAGCCTCGGAGCATGGCGAGTGCGGGGTGCAGGTGCAGGAGGGGCTCCATGCTAACCATGTGCTCATGTGACCAGTTCTCTTGGCCCAGCAATTGGTTCTAGAATCGAAGCACAAAGCAGTGAAAGTCTTGCTGAAGAGCCGGGCTCAGGATGCTGGAGAGAGAGATGAGTGATGAGGCCCAGGAGAGCTGGGAGGTGCTGCAGCCGCTGCCCAAGGACACCGGGAAGACGCTGCTGGCGGAGTGGAGCCCAGCTGTAGAGGAAGGGAGGCTGCACCCTCCCCCGCAGCCCGAGCTTGCCTGAAGCCGGCATTGCCCTCTGTTCCCCACTTAGCAGAACCAACAAATGGTCTTGTTAAAAAAGAAAAGCCTGTAGGGGCCGCCACTGTGGCGCAGCGGGTAAAGCTACCATTTGCAGTGCCGACATCCTTTATGAATGCCGGTTCGAATCCCGGCTGCTCCACTTCTGATCCAGCTCTCTGGCTATGGCCTGGGAAAGCAGATGGTGCAGCTTCTTGGGCCCCTGCACCTGTGCAGGAGACCTGGAGGAAGCGCCTGTCTTCTGGCTCTGGATTAGTCCAGCTCCAGCTCCAGCCGTTGGGCCATTTGGGGAGTGAATCTGCATCTCTCTCTGTAACTCTGCCTTTCAAATAAATAAATAAATCTTTAAAAATAAATAAATATAAATAAAAACCTGGTCCAATTTGAACTTAGGTCTCTTGGAGCCCAAGACTTAGGATTAATAAGTTGATTGAGCCTCACTGCTTGTGTTCTGAGCCCAAAACCTGGAATAGGATGGGGAGCAAATGAGACACCAGGCCCAGGGTCTCCTGCCCCCCAGAACCGTTGGGGGGGGTGAGTTCAATGCCAACGCCAGGCCGTGGGGCAGCCTGGTGAGAATCTGGGCCCCATCTCCCCACTGTTTCAGTGTGATCTTCTCCGGACAAGAGGAGGCAAACGTTCCCTTTTCCTTCTTGGCTTTGGGTTCCTGAGCCCCCAGCTGCCCTTATCACGAGGAGGGAGGTAACCGTCTATGGTCTGTGTTTCCAGATAAATGGAGAAGCTACGGGTGCCGCGAGGCTGGCCCTGTGGTTCGGAAGACGCTGTGGTTTGGCGGTGGTGAGCAAACAGGTCAGCTCGGGGCAGGGGAGGTGCGTGGCCTTCAGGGGCCTGAGACAGCTTGCCCTGCCAAGGAGGCAGGGGCTGGGGCCAGGCCTGGAAGCAGCTGCTGTCTGACCCCATTCAAGGCAAAGATGGCGGGGCCCTGGTGGTCCTAGGCCTCTGAGAGCTGTGCATCTCAGGCCCAGGCTGCCTGGGGCCCAGGTGGGCCACGCTTCTTGCATCCTGACTTCTGTGGTGTGATCTAATCCGCGGCGGTCTGCACCACAGATCCATGAAGGGAAGTTATAGGGCTCTGGGAAGCCCCCAGACGGGGAGATCGGATCAGCTCTGGGTAAAGAAGTGTTCATTTGCGCTCAACGGGGGTTTCGTCTTGGAAAGCCTCTGGGATGCAGTGAGTCAGTTCGGTGGGGTTTGGGGACTCCCACCGTTCCTGACAGTCATTCTTCACCAAGACAAACGACATCAATCACTCTGTGCGCCACTGCTTTGGGCCCTCCATCCTCGATCCTCGGTGCTCAATGTCTCAGAGGCAGGAAGGGCTCCTCCCGCCCCGCAGAGCAGGTGGTAAGTGAGTCTCTGACGTCCTTCCCCCAGCCAATCAGGGGGCCCCGGGGCCCGAGGCTCGCACACTTGGGAGGGCCAGCCTGGGCGAGCTCAGGCCGTAAGCCTCCGGGTGACTACCGCTGCTCCCACTCCGCAGAGGAACAAGCGATGTGGAAACGGGGCGTCCCCTCGCCCCAGGCTGTGCGGGACCGGCTCACAGAAGGAGCTGCATTTGCTGGCTCGTGGGAGCGGGCCGGGGAAAGCTTCTGAGCAGGCTTCTCTTTTTTTA